AAAAAAAAAAAAAAAAAAAAAATCCATTTTGCATAGCTTTGTGCGTGAATGGGAGTATTGCACTTATATTTCAATAGTAATGAACTTGAGATGATGCAAGTCAGCTCAGTGGGAAGAAATTTTAATCTCTCAACATAAACCAGTTCCTTAATTTGAATTACACAAGCGCACCTCTTGCACAATGTCTTTCAAGGAAGAATGGGTTTCTGATATAACTTCCTGCATAAAAAAGCTTTGTATCTTTTCCGAAAGGCCAGACACATCTCCTATTAGTGCATAAGCATCAATCACCTGTTCATAATGACAACAGCTGGATCATTTTAAACAAAACTTCACGAGAGAAAAATAAGATCAATTGTCAAATCACTTGCAATTGTTCTACAATTCCAAAGAGGTGCAAATGTTGATTGCAAGATATTCCACATAATGATCTGTTTTGGTCATGATACTAGTGACAACAGTGAGTATAATTATTCAACCTTAAACCTATATGGGAGAAAAATAACTAATGCGGACTTAGTAAAGCCAAACTAATTGAAAAGTCTTAACCAACCTAGGAAGCACATAAAGTATAATCAAGTTGGAAGCTATTGATAACGAAACAGTAATGAAATGCTTTTTACTCAAGCAAATAGGTCCCACTAAGTATAATAAATCTTTAGATTTAACCATGAGATAAGTTCATAATCTTATAATCAGTAAAACGAGATAGTTGGCTCTGTCAGTATCTAATAAACTCACAGGGCCAAGTTCATGATGTTTACCAAAATCAGCATAAACCCAGACATCCTAAATTATCTACAAAATGGACCACTTATTTAGCAGTTAATAATGGGATAAAATGAAGGTATATTATTCCGCTAATCCTTGGAAAGACTCCAGCAATGGATACATGCACAATTTTAGTAAACCATGGAATAAATTCAAGCTATCATGCTCGGGAAAATTCCTGCTTATAATAGAGATAAGAAAGAGAAAAACTTCCGTATCAAATTAAATGGGGGAAGTTACAAAACTCCTAGACTTTCAAGACATTTGGTTCTCTCCAAAAGAAAGCTAGAATTTCCTAGCTCCTTATCACTTTCTACCTGCCTTACCCCAAGCCCAAGTAACAACTTTAATCTTTATTAATACTACCCTACCCGTACAACCCATCCCTATCATTCTATTAGAAGAATATTTACATGAAAAGACTCATATACCCTTCCCTAATGAGTTAACTCACTCATTTCTTGTTTTGCTTGAAGGACCTCGCAATCTCTGTGCACACATGAAGCTAATAGGAGGCTTGTTATTTTTATCAGTACCACCCACCCAGAGTTTCACCCTTCCCTCAAGGTGAAGGTAGGAATTTACTTCTAGCATCTCAGCTGAATCATTTTGTATTGTGCTGGAGAGCCCTCACAACCTTCTTCTCACATACGTGAAGCCAATATGAGGCTTCTTGTTTTTATTAGACTATTATTATGAGAGAGAAACATTTTCCCTCCGTGCTCCTTCCACAAAGGAGTCTGAATTTACCCAACCCAAAACCCGATTCATTCCCTTCAAAATCTTTTCAATCAACCTTAATGCCCTCACTTAGGTCACAAGCCCATTCTACTGGTCTCACTGCCTAAATTTTCCACGGCTTCCTTTCCCTTGTAGTAGCGAAAATGGTATAGATTTCAGCTAAAGAATAAAGCTACCGGAAGCTTGCAGAAAAAATATTCAAATTGTCTGCACCTGCTATTTGGGTCAAGCCATTTTTTCAACATTGAAAAGTTCATCCACAGCCCTCTAGGATAAAGTGCAGGACCCATAATCCAAATAAAATGTGAAATGGATTTTTCAGTGCTCAAGGTTAAATAGAACAAAAAGAAATTGAATGTGTCAAGAATGCATGATTTCAGGGAGAAAGAAAAACAGAACTAATTTCTATCATATGAAAACAATCCTCACAGTTAAATAGCCCTCCTTCTTGAACTCCTGACAGACATCTATCAAAAGTAAATCCAACTTTTGTAGGGTTCTTCCAAGCCAAACCTACAATATTATATAAAAAAAGTATTATAAATCAGTTACTATACCCTTTAAAACGTGTCCATAGGAGATATACATAGATATTTTTAAACTGCAAATGCTCAATATCATTGAGACTACTCACCTCTACACCACGGCTCATCTCTTGAATGACTGAAAGCTCTGAAAAACTATCCAATAGCTGCAAATACTCGGATAAAACCTGAAAAGCCTATATAGCAGGCATGTTCGGCAGCACAGCTAGAAAAGTTAATAAGCAGATATCATTACTCCTTCAGACATGTTCATTTTTGTGTGGTACCTGCAGTTTAGCTAGAAAAGGCAAAATAAGAAGCAAATTTTCAAACCCACCTTGTAATAATTTCCCTCTTCAACAAGAGACTCAAGCATTGATTGCATGTCCACAGCATGACGAAGCTCACTCAAAACTGGAACCATGTCCTATTTACATTACTTTGTCAATGAAAAGTTTACTACTTGAAAAAAAAAAATAAGTAAATTAAGCTGGAAGCATATCCTACTTAACATAGCAATGGGTAATTTCTTGTGTAAATACTTTTGGGAGTTTTTAGGTAGTCCTTATTCTTGTTTTACATTCAATAGCTATAAGGTTCGTAAGTACATTTCTAAAATGAATTGGTCATAAGAAAGGGGTTGGAAAATTAGTGGCTGCTTTCCAATCATTAGTGGTTCTAAGTAGGCTATAGTTACAAAAGTACTTTTTTATCAGACCACTCCCAGGAAGTATGCCATACACTACTAACAAAAAACCCTAGAAGGACAACTTGTCTTCAAAAATCCTTTGGTTTCTTTCCCTCAATAAATGCCGATTAAGGGCATTAACCGCACAATTCAAAAATAACCTTAGCTTTCCCTTTGAAGTACGACCTCAGGAGCCTCCACAGCCACTGGCAAACATTTTATTGGAAACAAATATCTATGCCCGGTTTAGTCAGGATGAAAGACCAAGAGCCCAACAGAAAGAAGGCAATGAATGAAGATAACGCCCAAAAAGGGAATTTCTTTCAAATTTTGTCTGCAGCATCGAGGCTTCAGTAAAGCACTGACCAAAGCAAGAATTTGACTTTCCTCAAAACCTTCAATTTCCAAACATAATTGATCCAAGGGGACTTTCTGCGTAGCATGAGATTTAGAGAGGTGAAAGAAGGCAGATTAATTTAAGGCATATTGAGGAATTTTGGAGAATTTTATATTCTTGAACACCCAAACCAAGCTCGAGAAGTCAACAAACAAGTAACCATGTGGTGCAATTTTCTAAGAAATACTCGTAGAGTCGATTAGGATCGAGGTTAGTGATTGGAGTATTATGTTTAGGAGCCTAGTTTGACTTAGTCTCATCACAGTTGTGCTTCAATAATGTGAACCGTTTACAACTTAGCTCTATTTACAGTTATATAGCTTCCGCACACATGATTTGTGAACTCTGGTGGATTATTAGGTCTTTATGCTTTCCAATATGTTGAGGTTGGAATATTATCCCTTAATGAGCATGACGAACATGTTGTATGCCTTTGTACGTTTATTACGCCTAATATAAGGTTTGGATAGCTCATTATTCCCCAGTTATGAGTTGGACTACCGCTATGTTCCATAGAGTGCTAGTTGTGGTTTTCATGAACTATGAGTTATTGTTTAGTGTATTTTCGTCCTAGTACCTAGCCATGAGTTCCATAGCCTCCTTAGGTTGACTAGGTACCTTGTAAGGACGAATAGGGTGCAACCCCTGTTCGTGATACAATGTCACAACAAGTATACACACGTTACACTCATGGCAGAAAGAAGCAGTCACGTGTGGAACCCATTGGTTGAATTTTTTTTTTATGCAGTTTTCTTTTCTTTTTTTTTTTTTCAGTTTTGCTATTGTAAGGAGTCCTCCAGCTTCATTTCTATATTTAGTTATTTCCCTTGTTTTAGGAGGATGATCCTCCATGATCAAGTCATGGCTCCATTGATGTAGCAATGATTATAAGGACTCCACTTTTATTTCTATTTTGTTTCCTTTGCTTTAGAAGGACGATCCTCCATGATTGAGTCATGATTCCATTGATTTAGCAATGGTTATTATACAACTTATATAAATAATCACAAACATCAATGGAAATGAGACCTAAAAATTTTCAATTTAGTCTTGAGTACTTTAACTCAAAGGTATTAAAATTCTTTCTATCTAAGCCTAACGATTATTCAAAATAGGTTGAGAAAAGAATTCTATGTCTTCCTCCACACAAACTCCGTCTACCTCCACTTACGAGAAACTCATAATTCGATCACAAACTTGGGTAGTAACAGAGAGAGGGTCTCCATGTCTTGGCCAAGAAAGTTTGTATGCAATACATATATGTAACTGTTTTTTTTTTTTTTTCTTTTTCTCAAACCTCTCGACCACAAGATTTTAGAGTTGAGAGTTTTCTTGTGACAAATAGGATTTTCAAATAGTGACATTTGTGATCGGAAGTTCTGGTCATACTATTGGGTCAACAAATAATTGCAACCACCGATATACTCATATTATATCAACGTAGCTCGAATGTCAAATGATATATACCAAATGGAATTGATGCTAACTACCATGAGTAAGAATTGTCATTCTCAAGCAGTTCCAAGATCAAATCACACGCTTCTTCGTTTTTCTTTTGCATGTTAATACATGAAACTCCTATACTTTAAAGGAAAAGTTATGAAGAATATCCACTCACAAATTATTGCATGAAATCTAAGAAAGGGTTGCGTTCAACATATTGTTACCCATTAGTGTCAATGCTCAATGCAATGCTGGCTATAATGAGCATTTTGGCTAGACTTCAACTTGAGTTCAAGGACACGTTATTTGAGGATGCTCCCTTCTCTTCATCATTTTTATTAGGAATCAAGAGATGGGGAACAATGATCATCTTTTTTTTATGCTGTTTATTCTAGTTAAAAGGTGACTTCCTCCTATCTATCTAGTCGAGAGTTGTCATCATCTTATTAGTCCACTTCGATGTTAGTGTCCATTCATCCACCTATTACTCAACTTTTTCCCAAACAAGAAACTCAAGGCATATGCTTGTGCTAGAGGATTCCTCAATTTTAGATCTAAGACTAAGTGATGAGCTTCCTCGAGCTCTTTGGTGATTTTGTAATGACTCTAACTCACCTTGGGAAAAGGTGGCAATGAGTATTCATGGTATAGATCCTTTTTCCCAAGAAGTAAAAGGAAAGTGAGTCTTAGAAGCCCTTGGCTTAACATTTAAAAAAACTGGATAAAAGTTAAACATTTTAATTTTGTTCTTGGCATTGTAAAAAGGAATTCATTTTCACATGATGTTTGGATAGATGCTTACCCTTTCAAGCTTTAGTTTCCTATTCTCTTCAATGTCTCACAACTTCCTCATGGTAAAGCTGCTGATTTTTGTGACGACAGGTGTCTGTCTGTCTTGGAAGATTACTTGTAGAAGATTCTTAAAAGATGAGAGATTTAATTAGTTTAGCTCTCTTCTTACTGAATTGGAAGCTGCCAAGATCATTGAATATTTGAAGTATTGGAGTATTGATCTTCAGCAGTGTCCTTAGTTAAATCTCTTAGAAGCATTTGACAGCATCTTCTCCTATTCCTAAAGACATATTTTTGGCATTATGGAAGTCAAACGTCCAAAGAGGATCAGCCTTCTTATGTGGATTATCATTAATAGTAATTTAAATACTACCTAAGTTTTGAGAAGGAAGATGCCATTTTGATCTCTCGTGCCATCTATGTGTTCTATGTGCTGCTCGGATTTAGAGAGATTAAATCACCTGCTTTTATGCTTTATCTTGTTGGCAGAAATTATTTGAGATATTTAATATTCATTGGGTTTGCTCTAGTGACTCCAAGTGCACCTTTCTACAATTGCTTAAAGGCCCTTGTCTTCCTCAAAAGCTTGTTATGTATTAATGCAGTTAAAGCTATTATTTTAGAGATTTGGTTGGAGTGTAACCAAAGAATTTTTCAAAAGCAATAATCAGCATTGGTTAGATGGTTTTGAGGCAGCAAAATTGAAGGCTTCCCTTTCGTATTCTCATTCTTAGCTTTTTTGTAGTTCTTCCCTACAAGATATATGTTAAAATTGGGATGCTTTTATATTTTCTTAGTCTTTTTTATCTTCTTCAATTTTCACTACTTTTTTTTTTTTTTTGGAAGTTTGTATCTTTAAGCAATAGTCTCTTCAGTTTTTCAATAAACTTCTAACCTATTTTAGTGGAACGATGTACTAGCTCCCTCATGATAGATTTTGCGCGTGAAAATTAATTTAACTTTTAACTAAGTTTCAGCTTTGATGTTACATCCAAGTTACCCTTCATATAGCATTTAATACCATATTTTGCAACCGTCATTTTGTTCATGGGAAGAAAACAAATTTTGGCATCCATGGAATATATCAAGATTGGAGAATTATTAGATAGGTAACGGATAAATTGTCTTTGTAAAAAGCAAGGCCTAATTAACATATATGCTCCAGCTAAAATAAGAATGTTATAGCATGTATATTATTTAATTAATAATATTAGTTATAGCAACCAATTAGTGACGTGCCCTTTATTGTAATTTTACATTAAACTAGTACTAGGATCTCATGCATATATATTTACATATAATGATGAATGGAATATTGTTTGGTGTTTACTTTTAAACCTACATTCCGTAAGGCAACAAACATAATTGCTGGAAATAGAAACATGTGATAACTTTTTTGAACATGAAACCAAATTTTTTATTGTAAAAATGTGATAATTGGAAAGGAAAAAAAGAACAACGAGAAAAAGGCCAACAAAACACTAAAAAATAGAGATAAATATCTCTGGATTCTCATCAACTTGAGAAAAAATAACAAAGGAAGAATTTCAGCATAAGGAAATTTTTCTTGTAGAATAAAAAGATGTACCAGAAGTGCTTGTTTCTTCTTCGAATTAGAGTTTACAATGAGATCTCTAGAGACTTCAAGCATTGACGAAGTTAGGTGTCTCTTCCCATTCTACAAACATCAGAATTAATGTTACACCAGAGTACCCTAGCAGGAAAACTAAACAAGTGCAGAATAACCAAATGTGGGTTAAAAGGCTGAAATTTGTTAGACGACCATAACATGCTAAATAAGACCTACCCTGCAGATGACATTCGCAATCTTCAAGTCTTTTTCCAACTCCCTGACCAAATGCATCCCCTTCACTGACCAAAAGTAAGAAACGAAATCTCATCAAACTATCATTCAATTCCAAAATTAAGCCTTTTTCCATCTAGATAGCCCTTACGAAACAAACAAGAAAACAGATTTCCATTATCAAACAACATTTTGGAACTACCACCACAATTAAAAGAAGTGTACTACATCCACTGGAGACTGTTATTCAAAATTTTGACGTACACTCATCATGGCACAGTAGAGAACTAGAAGAAAATCCACAACGGAATCTTGTACAAAGAGATTTTTTTATTACATTACTTCCTTTCAATTTTCTGTCTTTTTGAGAGAATGTAATCAAATATACAAAAAGCTAATGGAGGTTACAAAAATCCTAATTAGCACAGATAGCACTAATGGAGTAATTACAAAAAACTTTGTCTTGCTTGCCCCAAAGGGCTTAATTCCCAAATTAGAGTTATTAGTTTTAGAGCTGAAATTTCTTGTATTTGAGTAGAAGGTTATTGTTTTCATGATTCGAAGTCGTCAATTCGTATTGAATGCATGAAGAGAGCATAGGATGATCTTCATTGCTTAAGGGTTTTGGAGTTACTAAGGTATTCATGCTTATTTTGATATGCAGTTTTGATATGCATTTTATTCCCATGTTGCAGAGCTAAACTTGGAATTCTTTAGAATTCATCCCCCAATGTATGGAGCAAAGTTCAAATGAAGCTACACGAGAGAACAAAACATTTAATTGAGTTGGCTGTTATTAACCAAATCAGACAAGTCCAGTCAATGGAGAGCCGCCATGGGGAGCTATCTAGTCTACTCAACTCTGAAACTAAAAGGTGAAAGCTTATTAAAGATGAAGAAGGTTTTGGTAAGAGAGGGTGGCATGTAAGAGAAAAAACTAGAGAATATATCAAGGAGAAAAATATGGAAAAAGGAAGAGGAGCTGCAACCTACTTCTTTAGGCAACCTTCTTGTTTCTTCATTTTATTTTCTCTTCAATCCTAATTGGCATTTCCGGGTAGTTCTCATTTTTTAACTTGAGATATGAACTAAATACTCTTGGGTGAGGATTAGGGATGCTTCTATTAATCTAGGATCCTTAGCTCTTCTCTATCTGGTATTTTTTTTAGTGTTTTTATTGTTCTTGTTTGAGGTTGTTTGGCTAACACACACATAACTCTATTTCCTTGAAGTTTGGGAGAAATAAAAGGAAGCGGTTGCTCATAAACTACAGCTTTATGATTGGGCTAGTGGATTTCTAAGTGAGGAGGTTAGGATAACGACCTACCTAATGCACATCAAACAGTAGATTAAATAAGAATGGGTAATAGGAATTAAACCACTAATTATTGGAAATCTGGAAGGATTCCGTGTTCAATGTTGTGTGAAGGAAGAGACCAAGGTTAAAACGGCAACATTCTTATTTAGAAAGACATGAACTATTCCTAATCTAAACTCATTTTGTTAATTTTGTTACAAATTACGTTATTTGGCCACTTGAGCCATTTACAGGTTATTCTTGCTATGCTTTTGAGATCTTTGTTTTCCATCTTGATAAGTCTCATAATGCGTGATATTTAAGAGAGTAGTTTAGGGGGTTGTTGCTTTGAAGATCGCTGGAGATCTTTTAGCTGGTGGCTATTCAGGATCCTTTAACTTGGCCTGGTGTTTGTGGAAAGTATTGTTGTACTGTGATCTTTGGTTTTATACTGGACCATTGTCTTGGATTAATTAGGGATTTGTATCTCCCTTGTTTCGTTTGCCTTATTTTTCCCTCCATCTGGTAGGTTGTATTTTTCAACATTTTGATTATTTTCATCTATCAACCGAAAGTTCATTTCTTATTTCTAAAAAGCACCAAGAGTAGTTATGGATAAATATACAAGTGCTTAGACTTATAAATCCAAGCAGGAAAAAAAAACAAACAAGAGGACAAAACAAATCTTCAGCATGTTCCCTTTTTTCTTTATTCTTTCTTTAAGAAACAATAGTTTTATTTAGTTTTATCTCGTAACTAACCTGAAAATATAATGGCAAGCCTCCTTTAATGTACAACCCTTATTTGGGCTTGGATGAAGTTCAACTTTGAAACCTAATTATCTCTCTCCTAATTGGTGTGCGTGATACAAAAAGAGAGTCCAAACGATACTTATTTAGCCATCTCTTGGTGTATATTGTCTTCTCTTTTCCATTCTTATAGTTCTAGCCTCTATCTACCCCATCTTTTGTAATTTCATACATCAATAAAATTGTTTCTTATCAACATAATGTCCCAAAAAAATAAAACCATACAGAAACACCCAAATCCAACTAAAAAGGGATCAAACAACTCATATATCCCCAACGCTTGCAATAAAAATAAACCAAAAAATAAAACCTAAGTATACAACCCCAAGAAACTTGGGGGGAGAAAGCAGATTGAACCACCAGATGAATATGCTTAAACATAAAAATTTTCAGTAGAAATTGAACTCTACTTTAGAGAAACCTAAGCCAAAGATTGATGTGAGAGAATCAACTTCAATTTTACCAAAGAGAAACATCAATCCTCCAACCAAGCCAAACACAAGAACATTTCCAAGACTACACCCCTTGGAGAAGGGGAGTAGGAGGATCAAAGAGAGAGAGCAGTACCCATCACTTCATGATGCTCCATTACATGACGAGATAACCGTTCAGCCACTTTATCAAGTTGAGCTAATCTCGTTGTAGCCTTGAAAGAAATTTATTCAAGAATTAGTCAATGGGAAGAGAAATGAAAGTCAAAGTTGAATCATGAAATTAGATAAAAGGATCATAACTGTGATCAGATCAATTGGATATGTTTGTTAATGACTGTAATAATTAAAGATGCACTAAAGCAGCAGATGACTGTTAGTACCCTAGTGTGCAATTATATTGGGGATAAGAATAAATACAGAATAGTTTAGATTGACATGAGAAAGAAAAATGAAAAAGGACGAAAAACTCAAAATGACACTGTAAATAACAAAAGGATGCAGAACAAACGGTAAATGAAAGATAAAAAGGATAACTAAATCCCTAGATACTAGGTAACATTAAATCTAAATAAATCTCTAGATACTAGATAAAAATACAGATATATTAGGGAAGTCAAGTACTTCCCTTATTTAATGGAATTACACAAATATTCTTTAAATCAAGGTCATTCCTTCCACAAGGGTTTTATTAGATACAGAACAGTCTCATGCAAGGCTCTTTGATCTTGTTGTTTACCCTTATTATTTTTTTGTGTAATTGTCTAATATTGTTTGCTTCCTAAAGCTATGTCTCCCTCTTACCCAATTAGGAAGGACTTCTGTAATCACCGCAGATTTAATGTCCTTTTTGTAAATTTCATATACCAATAAAATTGTTGCTTATTAAAAAAAAAAATGCAGGTGCAATTAAAAAGAAATTATCCATCTCTTATGAGGCAGATATCAAGTACAATTGTAGGGTTAGATCGAGAAGCTGGAAAGCTACCTGTTTCTCCAGATATTCCAGATCATTTTCTTCTGATGGAACATGCTCTAACACATGCCTAACTGGGTCAAAATCCTGCGGTAAGAATTAAGAATCAATTCAGTGCTCTTTACCCCGGGCACAAATGCAGGAAAGAATCTACTAAGCTCCAAAAGCAAAGCAGAAACAGTAGAGAGTGAAGTAATTCACATTAAAAACTCCACTAGTGTGGAAAAAGAACATGAGAATTACACTTATACTTAGTCAAATTACAGATCCTTCAATATTGGATCTGAAAGTCCATAAATTTCAATTTTGTGTTGAATAGCTCTCTGATATATTTGAACCTATTAGACCTAAAATAAAATTGTAGGGCCAATAAGACCATAAACTTTCAATATTTTTCAAATGTGAAATAGGTTAATGACATATTAGGGGAAAAAAAAAATTGCAAAGTTCAAAAATTTATTAGCATAAAAAAGTTGAAGGACTCGTTAAACAATTTTTAAGATCAAGTATCTATTAAACACGTAAATAAAAGTTCAAGGATCTATTAGATATTTTTTAAAGTATCTAAATGTTGAGGAACTTAAATTATAATTTAATATGAAATACATCTGGTGAATTAATAAGAGGTTCTAGAATTTTGAAAATGCAACACGGTATTAACAATAGTCGTGCCTGTAAATGAATGATCCCAAGTAAATGACAGTAGCAATAGCAAGTAGTACCTCTTCATAGAATACTTCCTCTAGTTCCTCTACTTCGTGACCATGACTTCTACTGCCATATATTGAGCTCAGTTCTTCAGAGCTAGATGGGAGACTAAATCTCTGATGAGGAGGCAATCCAGCAAGTGCACGGGCAACAGCTGCCGCAGCCACAGCACGTGCGGGAACCTGCACCTGCTCAATAAGGTAGAAAATAAATTATTGAGCACCAATAGGTCATATTTTATAAATAAAAGAAAATGCGAAAAGTTATTCTTTAAGAGCTCATTTGACATTTTTTCCCCCTATTTTAAAAAATTTGCCTCTTTACTAATACTTTGCTTTGTTTTCAAATCTACTTTCAAAAACTATGTTAAAGCCTAGTCAATTTTTCCTAGGAAAAACTAAAAAAGATGGCTTCCTTGGTTGTCTATCCCCCTTGGCTGGTGCCCCATATGCAAGAAGGAACTGAAATAATAAGTTGAAGCAACGAAGTATGACAGCAAAGTCACTATAGCACTTACAATACCCTAAACAATGAACATAAAATAGAAAACCATTTTACTTGATTGCAACTTTGCTGGAAATTTTTGGGTGTTTATTCTCTTTAACTAGAAAGTGATGTTCCCCATGAAATTATTCAATCTACTTATATTCACATTAATGGGACATGCCTTCAAGATTGATTTGGACCCATTCTATTAGGGTGTTCTTTTGATCTCTTTAGGTTGTTCTTTTTTCAAAGAAACCATTCTTCTTATTGATAAAATGAAAAAAGTCCAAGAATAAGAAAAATACAAAGAAAACACATACAAAAAAGAACAAACGCAACAAAGCACCCAAAAAAAGACATGCTTTCCAAAGCTTTCCATCTTGAAAGGAAGGACACCAACTAAAAAACAGAACAAAGAACTCCGAAAAAAGCGACAGAAAACAGGCCAAGACCAGGGTTGCTATCCACTATTTCATGAGCGGACAAAACATATTGAAATGGAATATCATTTCATTCGTGAAAAAATACAACAAGGGTTGTTATCCACATAATATGTGAAGACTGGAAAACAATTGGGAGATATTTATAACAAAATCTTGAACGGAGCAAGAATGCACTACCTTCGCAACAAGTTGAGCATGAATGACATATTTGCTCCAGCTTGAGGGAGGGTGATATAATACATGTTACAATGCGTTATTGTCTTTTATTGCAATTGTACATTCTTTTGGATTTGGTGTCAGAACGATGGATGGAAAAAAAATCAGATGATTTTTTAAGACAATTGTTTTCCTTGAATTGACTGTTTGAATATTCTCTTCTCAAAATTTCTTTACGTTGATCTCTTTCCAATACTTTTTAGACATTTTTCCTTGCATGATATATGTTTAAATTGGAATGCTTTTGTAGCTCCATTTTAATTTTGTTTTATTTCTTCAATTCATCTTTCACTTCTCATGTGAGATAGTATCTTAAAGCTTAATTTTTAAGAGAAACCCAACTTTTTTGCGGATATAGTGAAAAGTTCCTATATCATTCCTTATTGTTGAAAACGCAGTAGTTTCTCTCTCAAGCCACAACTCCCACTCCATAGTCTTCTAAATTATATTTATCCATAGAACTTTTGTTTTTCCTTGAAATTTTAGACCACATAATTATTGAACACTATTTTCTGCCTAAACAGGCACCAAGAATTCCAGCTAAATGGACAGAGGAAAAGAAGATAATTCACCTTCTCCACTTCATCTTTTACTTAAATGCACCAATATTTTTCAAAATTTGTTTCAAAAACCCATCATTCTGCCTCCCTCCGATAAAGAACTTCAGTTGCAATAAGAATATAATCCACAATTTGTCGATCTCAAATAAAAGCATTTTGAAAGCAAGATACTCAAACATAGTAATCTTAATTTTGTGTGTGTGTGTGTCCTTTCCACAATATTTTTTGCAGTAATTTTGAGTCCCATTCACCAGCCTAATGCTCTAAAATCCTTGATCTTCACCACCTTTTTCTTCTTTTTAATCAATCAAATAATGTCCTCTAGGATCGGAGCTTTTTACTGTTTTAATATTACAAAACAAACTACTTCCCCCTGGACAGCTTTGCATGGTGATTCAGAAACTTTTCTCAACTTATGAATCTATAGTGGGGATGTCTTTTGCAATCCCTTTTGGCCAAGGTTTCAGAAGGGAGATATCCCATCTCTCACCCACTCTTTTGTAACCAGCTCTTCTGGTTAACTGAAATTATGTGATGTGTCTAATACCAAAAACAAAGGGCACATCTCAAATATGGGCTACCTATGTCGAGTGTAAAAGACTTTATAATCTGCAACCCAATTCATCAAACTGTATACATAAGCTGTTGACTATCTCTATGATTATCAATGGCATTGATTAGTGAAGGTAGAATATTGTAACTAAAGGATGCTTGAATTGAATTTAAAAGCACTCTCGGGAATTAGTAAACCATAATCAATTTTAATCAAATCCAACTAAACAGCAGCTACCTATAAACATCGAGAACTACGCCAATAGTGCCATCAGTTACCTCCGGACGATCAGTAGGGGTAGGAAGAAGTCCAAGCGATCTAGCTGACCTCACCGAGCTCAAAATCTTCTCCCCAACCTTAGACAAGTCCATTCCACCTCCTTGCAGCAGAAAAAACGGAACAAAGAAGAGAAACCTGGACGTCTCGAATCCTTCGCTCAAATCACCATTGTACGTCAAAGGGTTTCCAAGAACACTGCCAAATGGAAACAAATTTGGCTGCATTTCACATCAGGCTCGCAAGTTCAACCCCCCCTGTGCCGCATATTTGATGCGATGCCACTCCCCCAAAATTTGATCCGTTGAATCTACAGAGATCGGGTTCCAATTGATCGGAGTTTCGTATGAGTGAATCAAGGAGTGAGAAGCCGATAAAGTTACAGGTGATGCGCGTGCTTTCGCGCGTCTGGTGTAAATTTTTTGTGAATTTGTTGTTTCGTAGACTTTAGGGAACTCCCGAATCTCGACTGATTTCAGCTGGCAAGAGTCGGCGACGGCATTGAGCAACCATCCTAGGACAACTTTCCGCAAATATCAAAAATGCTCCTTAATTTCTTCTTAATTCTACTTTTAGTCCTTAATTTCTTCTTAATTCTACTTTTAGTCCTTAATTTCTTCTTAATTCTACTTATAGTCCTTAATTGCTTCTTAATTCTACTTCTAGTCCTTAATTTCTTCTTAATTCTACTTCTAGTCCTTAATTTCTTCTTAATTCTACTTCTAGTCCTTAATTTCTTCTTAATTCTACTTTTAGCCTCCCTTTGCTTCCTCATAGAATCCTAGTGGCTGAAAAATCATAATAAAATCCAAACTATTACAATTTCTATAAAAAAAAATTCATAGTTTAAAAAAATTTAATTTATTTTTTAATTCATAATTCTTTATATGCGACGAGTTACTTAAATAAAAAAAAAAAATTGATCATAGCTCATCACTTCTTACGTTCAAACACTTTTTTTCTTCAATGAAATATATTTAAATCTTTTTTTTTTTAACCAGAAATATAATTCATACTGTCCCTCTTACAAGGATTTGTTGAGGATTGTTAAGGGTGAGTCTTTGGCTAATTTAGGGAATGATCATGGGTTTATAAGTAAATACATCTTCATTGGTACGAGACCTTTTGGGAAGCCCAAAGCAAAGCCACTAGAGTTGTGCCCTAATAAACAGCCATGACAATAGAATCCTCAAATATCGAACAAAGAATTGTGAGCTTCGAAAGTGTTTTAAAAAATGATTAAAGTGTCGAACAACAAAGGGTATATTTTGTTCGTTCAAGGGCTCCAGAGAAAGGAATTAATGTTGTTTACTTGTTTTATTTAAGTTTGGTATTTTTTAACTTATTGTGAGATATCGCATCGGTTGGAGAGGAGAACAAAACATTTCTTATAAGGGTTGGAAACCTCTTCCTAACAGATGCGTTTTAAAATCGTGAGATTGGCAGCGATACGTAACGAACTAAAGCAAACAATATATGTTGGTAGTGGGCTTGAGCAAATGGTATCAAACCTAGATACCGGGTAGTGTGACAGCGAGGACAGTAGGTCCCCAAAAGGGATGGATTGTGAGATCTTACATCTGTTGGAGAGGGGAACAAAAACATTTCTTATAAGAGTTAGAAACCTCTCCCTAACAAACGCCTTTTAAAACCGTGAGGCTGATAGCGATACGTAACGGGCTAAAGTGAGTAATATTTGTTAGTAGTGGACTTGAGCTATTACACTTATAAACATGATTAGGTACATCAAAACTTTAAAAGTTGATAGATTGTTCTACATAAACTTCCACCACGATATAACCATCAAAATGGCACTCTTCACATTCAATTTGTAATGACAGTAAATTTCTATTTACCTAGAATCACTGTCAACGTCTCATGCTAAGCTCATACGCGGGATAACTCTTAAAAACATCGTTTATAGAATAACTTTCAAAAGAATAAAACAACTTCATCTTTAAAAACATTGTCATGGTTTTACGTGTTGAACAAATAATACTGAAAATGCAAATAATTTAAAATATGAAATGCAAAAACAACCTAAGTCTAAGAATTCAAACATTGTCATTGTCATAGTTTTTATCCTTTGCATGTGTCATGATCTCTATGTGTGATGTCACCGTCAACTGCAAATGGGCGCATTGTCTTTACCTAAAAAATGATGTAGCACACAGCTTGAATATTTCGAAGAATACTTAGTAAATAACCCCACACTAGAGACATTGCAAAAATGCAAACACATGCAAAAGATGCTCAAGGGACCTATCTCTATCTTATCCTACGTGTACCCTTCAATCCATACTAACTTTGGATGTGTAGTACTTCCCTACACACGACCCACACGTGCGAGTGTGAATCCTCAGGAAATTCGCACCTCCCTAGATCCATCATCGTCAAGCTAACTGTCCGTAACGATGTCCGGAGGTCACGGACCCCTAGGTGTCATTCTCAACATGATCACCATCATCATCAAAATGTATGCGTCCACACTCATCATCATAAAAGGGGAAGTATCATGATGCTTATGTACACATAAACATGCATGAGGTCCCTCAATTTCTCGTCTTCAACACATTTTTCTGACACAACTCTAGTCTCGTCTCTCTATTACTTTTTAGTGATACATGTGCATTAGTTATTCATGCTCTTTAGGATTGTGTCCTAGGCTGATTTCTCGACGTGATGCAACATGGCATTCATAACATACATCATGCTTAATATGAAAACATCATCATATTAAGGCAACAATATCATGCAATCATAATCATCCACCACGTCATTAAGCATCATCATGCATCATCATATACGTCATCATACGTCATATCATACATCATAACTCATACAAGTTTCTAGTCTATCCTATAGTAAGGCCACTTACTTGGTTGGCCTTAGTCAACGTTCTCCCTAAATTATTATACGTCAGCTCCCAGTCTTTGAAAGCTGCTCCAAGTGTCATCGTGGTTCGTCCCTTTCATTAGTATTTCACAATTTAATGATAATCCAATTGACAAATGTGAAATACAGCACTAAAATGGCCTCAACTATCTTAATTGCGGTTGAAACTAGGTTTGGGAGAGTCAAACTAGCTAATCCAATTGAACCCGTCTTCCCTAACCTCTAGCCAACCGTCTCTTTTCCTTGCATGCACGTACGTTTTCCTTCGATCATTTCTAACTTTCAATTTTGGCCTCGATAATTCTCATTCCCTTCTACAAAATTGTAGATCTCCTCGAGACAAAGACAATAAGCTAAGAATCAAAAAAAGAAAATGTCTGAAAAATCCAAAACTCGCCCAAGAAAAAGCCTGAATCGATCTCTGTTTGTCGTGGATAGTTTTCGATGCCTTCACCAAACTTGTAGGGCTCGTGAGCCAAGAATCATAACAAACCATTAACCATTGAGGGAGAATTTAACTTAGGTCATACCTTGGAATCATCGAGCTCCTTTCCCAATTGAAATCACCTGAAACCCCTCCAAACTACGAAAACCTCAAGCTTTTCGAGCTCAAACGTTTTCTCCTTTTATGTAGTCGACATTGTATAACCTTTGACTTTTAATTGTTCTATTTGTTTGAATTTTTTTAAAAAAAAAATTTAAATTACTACTTAGTTGAAATTACAAGATCGAACAAAGATCATACTTAACAAAAAAAAAAAACTTGTGACTCGTAGATGTCCCCAACACGATCGTTACTTCTCTTGCAATAATAGTTTTATTTTCTTTTATACCAATAATGGTTTTAATAAAACTTGTTGCTCATGAGGTCGAATTCTCCGGGTTTTTTTTTTCAACTTTTAACTTGTATAGTCCAATTGAATGAGAGTCAAAGAGTTGACAACAGAAGTCAAAAGAATAAATAGGAAAAAATTGATTCGTTTCGGTTCGATTTTTTAAAACTTATGCAAAAAACCAAACCAACCCATGCATCAATTTGAATCGGTTCGGTTTTCTATGTCTCTCTAACAAATATTTTTCAACAATCCGATAATAAGAAAACAATGAAATTGGGATGTAAAATATTCTAATATTCTAATAATTTGTAGAAATATCATTGAGATATTGATATAGGCAGAAATGAAACAAATTGTTACTTAAAAGAAATAAAAGGGAGAAATAAATTGGAAGCTCAATTATTTTTGAACTGCTATTGTGTTATTAAAATGGTGAATCTAAATGAGCTACTGTTTGCCACGTGTTGTTCGTTTACTTGTGTGCAATTGCAGCCGGTGACCGTGTGAAGGCTCCCACCATTTCTAACGCTACGCAGGGCTGGTCTACCGGCACCTGTCAGTTGCCATAAAGTCTAATAATAAGAGGGAGTTTATTGCAAAGGCAAACACGATAAAGAAAATGTTGAAATTTAAATGGGAAAAAATACTACAAAGACATGCATGAAAGCAAAGATGAGGCACAAGCAAGATAGAGGCAATAATGTCGATGTGGGTTTCAGAGGTAGGCTTGTTGAAGGATCGAGTAGGGCCTCAAGCCTTAACCTTGAATGTCGGAGTTTCAAAGAAAATTTGGGTATGCAGTTCTAAATTCAAATTTGATAACATTAGACAGTCGCTTTACGACATCGTATGACCATTCACCAAAATCATGTCTACACTTTCTAGACAAAAAAATGCCTCAAAATGTACTTTAAAGAGAGCATGATGTCAGTTCTCCTCCACCTCAGGGCTCTATGACCTAAGCGAGCTACTCTGTGGCACATGCATGTGTCACAGTGAGGGCGAGCGATGCAAGACGAGCATCTTGGGTGACTTCTTTTGAAATGGGTCTTTCAAAGATAGTGTTAAATGACACAGGTGTGCCAACATTGCGCCAATGCCCATGTGTCAAATGTTGGATTATGTACCCCTATCTGGAACGAATTTTGTAAATGATAGACATAGGAGGGTATAATGCCTTAATATAACCCGGATGGATGGATATTTGGGATGCTTCAATGATATGAACGACAAACGGATTCATTCTCGATGTCCATGATCGAGTGAATTATGATGGTAAACGACACTCTGTGACTTGGCATGACATCATGACATGTGAGTCATGTTAATAGGGAACATAGATGATGTTGGGGTGCGATGTTGCACATGAGAGACCTTGGTCCGAAGTAGAGGTAAGGTCGAGCCAAATGACTTTGCCTAGTGTAGAGACAAGTCGGTTGAGTCACAAAAGGTTGAACATGTACACACAAACAGTGTGTGTGACCGAACAAACTTGGATTCCACTCAAGATTTTTGTCTGATCTTATAATCTCTTTTTCAATTGATGGTTAATAAAGAGTGCAAATGTTTCCCACAAAGAGTTGTGTTCAACAATTTGGTTTCAGAGTGAGGTTGGTGTAGGTTGTCTGATCTCTTGGAATTCTTAGTATGCTCTATGATTGCATTTTTTGTCTGATTTCCACACATCATAAACGATTTTTTGAAATTATTAGTGAGTGAGTTTCTCTGTGTCGTAAGTAGTCTGTGACTCTGCAAGTTTTGTGTCGAAGAGAGCTTGTTTGTATTACTGAGGTATA